AAACGATAATTCTTGAACAGCTTCTGCTTTTCAGTTCTTGAATCGAACTGACTTTGTTGTGGAAAGAATGACTTACAGAAAGAGCTGCCACGAAAGAGAAACAGAATAGATAGTTCTTTGTGTTCTTGTCTTTAACCAAATGTTAAGTTCAAGAAAATATTTGGTAAAACCATATGTTAAGCCCTTGAACTAACCTCATATTTATTATTGAACCCCTAAACTTTTTGATACATATAAATCCTTAAACTCTATCTCATGAGTAATTTAATTTTTAATTCTTTAATTATTATAAAAATACAGATTAAATTGCACTTGATCCTTCAAGTCAACTGGCACCCAACCAGTTTGAGGTGCATTCCCTCCTTCCTATGAGTGGGTTTCAAGCTCACCCTTGACAACTTGTTCAAAAAAAATACAAATTAAATTACTTAAATTACAGAGTTTAAAAGTTATTATACATTAATACAAATTTAAAATTTATTTCGAGACTAAACTTATGGTTTTGCCCGCACTTGAACTTCACGACCTAATTACCATAAATCGACTTGTAAGGTGCATTCCCTAATCCGAGGGTTGGGGTTCAATTCCCCCTTCCCCATATTTGTAACCTTGTTAAAAAAAAAAAAAAAACTTATGGTTTTGCCCAGCTCCGAAGGCAAACGTTTGCCTCAGGATTTGTGGATAAGATAATGTCCATGAACGGTTTGATCATATAGGAGCTGTAAGAGTGATGATGTTTTTCGCTGTGCAATCCCAATTTGAAATATGGACCCAAGACAAGATGGCTAGAAAATTCCATTGACTTCGAGTTCCCCGCGCGGCGCGGGCATATAATATTTTTGACTGTTTTTCCTTCACAGTTTACCTGTACCATCACAATTCATAGCTAAGTCCACACGTCTGCGGTCGCCGATTTCATTTAATTTATTAATTGCGACTGTTACTGACCCAATCAAACTACCCATTCTACTTTATTTAAAACCGTTCAAAACTCGTCAACCATTCAAATGGGTTCATTAGGTTTAAAATGAGAGATTTTAAATTTAAATAATATAATATGTGATTGAGGTTAAATAAAAAATAAAAAAAATTATCTTATATTATACAAGAATATAAAAAAAAAAACCTCAAAACTAACTATTACTGGAAAGGTTTGTTTCGATTCAGTGACATTGAACTTTATATTAGGGTTGTTTACCTGAATTGTACATTTGAGCCCACAAAATTTTTTTTTCTTTTCTTCTAATTAACCTTGTAAATAATTACAAATTATTCAAAAAAAAAATGAGTTATTACTGTAACTCCATTATAACGTCAAAAGTCCAATATCTGTCAAATCTCTCTCCTCCTTTATACTATTATTATTACTGTTACACATTTACACGTCTAGTTCAATTTTTTTTACCCATCGAAGTAAATAAGTGTTCCTAATAGTAGTAGAAGATAAAAACACCAAACTTTTTGATATAGTAGTTCATTCTAAGGTTTAGTATTTAGTATAAGTGAGTAGAAGAATTTAATTTTCATTAATTACTTAAATTTTTTTAAAAATATCTTGTATTAAAATCTATAAAATTAATTATTGGTTAAGATAGGAATTCACCAACCACTTAAAACAATTCTCATAATATCTTGTATTAAAGTATATAAAATTAATTATTGATTAAGATGGGAAAACAATTAGGAGAAAGTTTTTGGTAAATGACTCTTATAAAACTTGCATGGAATGCTACTCTATATATATATATATATATCATGTTTGAATAAAAAGAAATTAAATCTTTTATAAGTAAATTCAAACTAATTTGACTCATTTTATTTAAAAAATTAAATATTAAATGAAAGTTGGATCTATGATATTGGAGCTTTTTTATCAAATGATTTATATGTTATAATTTTATACAGTTTGGTTTGTAACAAGGTTCTTACAGTAGAAATTATGGAGTAACAAATAAACTCAAATACTATATTAGTATGTCTATACCAAATTAATGACCAATATTTTGATTAATTTTATAAATTAAGAATTTAGAAACAAATTATATATTTAAATATATTATCTTAAGAAAAAGTTAGTAAAATACAAAAAAAAAGACTTTTTGTATAATAAGATAATTAATTAAATTAAATGAATAATAATGAAGTTAAACTAAGAAAAAAAATTTCATCTTCTTTTAAAATAAAAATAATAATTAATTTAAAATGAACTCAAAATAAAAAAACAATAATTATTTTAAAAGGAAAGAAGTAATAAAGAAAAGAGTTAAAAAACATTTACAAATAACTCTTACTCATAGTATTATTATTTATACAAAACTTTAATAACTCTTTTTTTTCATAAATAATTAAGATTTATTATAAACTTTAAATATAATCTGTAATAACTAATTTTAATTATTAATAAATAGTAGTAGTTTTTATTTTTAAATTTAAACCATTACAGTGAAAAATGAATGGTTGTTTGTTGCCTGACCTTTTTAAGTGCCAATTTGTTACCGTACGAAGCTAATACTTTTAGAAAATTTAGAAAATACAAATAGAAGCAAAAACTCACGAGCATATGGATGATGTAGTAAGACTTTTTAAATTTAATTAGAGGTATTTATTTCAAAATTTTAAAATATAATTTTGTTAAAATTTATGAGAAAATTTTATTGTCCTTTGAATTTTGCCTAATTCAAATCGAATTAACCAATAATCAAATCAACTTTTGAATACCGAATACCGAATGGTCTACATAAAAAAAAAAAATCATCATTTCATCGGCTCTGATTGTAAATTACTGCAAAATTTGGGCTAAAAATGATTTCACATGCAGATTTTTAACTTTTGCATCGAATCTCAATTATCGACATGTGTTTTGCAAAAAAAAAAAAAAAAATTAGGCTCAGCAAGGGTTGATCTTTCGTTCTTTCCTTGATTTCTTCAAAAACCCTAGGGTTGGGATTGAGGTTTGATTTTGGGATTTGAGTTAGGGTTTGACTCAGATTCAGTCCTCAAATCCTCCAATCTTATCTAATTGAATCGCAGAAATTCATCGACGATATGAAGAGATTGAGATCGAGCGAGGATCTCGATTCCTATGAGAAGAATATCAGCAAAGAGTCGAATCAGAATCTGAATCGATCGTTATCGTCTCACAGGAGTAGCAGTGCCGGCGGTAGCGGCTTTCACTACAAGTCCTCCTCCACCTCGGATAACAACGCTCGAAGTAAGAGTAATCTCATCTCTCCTTCGTCTCGCTATGATCGAGATCGATCCAGTGTTGATGAGGATAGTAGCAGGGAGAGGGATAGGGACGGGTTGAGGCTGATGAGGAAGCGATCGGACCATGATTTTGAGAGCTCTGACAGGCGGAAATTATTAGGGTTTGATCGGTACAGAGAGAGTGGTAGCAGCGGCAGTATTATTCACAGGTCGGAGAGCTTCTGTGGGCCACGCAGGGACTTTCCAAAGGGCTTTCGATCCGAGAGGGACAGAACGCGACGTGATGGGGGAACCTGGCGG